TGTTTTTTTTTTGTTTTTCTCCGGTACCGGGAACCGAACTCATGACCTTGCACTTGCCAGGCAGGCGCTTTTGCCGCTGAGCTAAATCCCCAGCCCCTCCTTTGCTATATTTCTAAATAAACACTAATAATCTGCCCTTTACACTAAGTTTGCTGTTCTTTCAAACAGTCTATCCAGCTATAGTAAAAGGCTTAATCTGAACTTATTCTATGATTCAGTTGTAGAGCTTCGGGGGATTGTTTTCACTCTTTGCCTCCCAAAGCAACACTTGAGCAGATTTATCAGTGCCGTAGTGAGGATTCTGGCTGTTGGTCAAGTCCTGAAGTTGCTCATACCTTTTGCTCTGTAGTCCCCCTATCTTTCTTTTGGGTCATTTGGGTCATTTCTAATCCTGGAGAGTAAATTCTGAGTAGTTCGCATAATGAAACAATAGTGATGGAGATATTAAAAGCAAGTATTTATATTACTGGTAATGTGCAATGTACAATTTAATTCTCACAGCAGTATTATAGGGGGAAGATACCATTGTGATTCCAGTTTTAGAGGTGAAAACATGAGACAGATCTAAAGAGTTATAGTATTATAATTCAGATAAACTGTAACTTTACAAAAGTGACTGCTCCTTTCTGTTGAAGGCTTTCTTTGGGGGAAGAGTCCTCACTTTTGGTATGAAGTACACTGTGCAGAGAAGACAGGGAAGTGACAGGGGTTTGGGTAAAGAGCAGGGATGTAAACTTTGAGGAAGAAGTAGTTCAGTTGAGGTCTTTAGTAGGATAAAATGAGTATAAATTGAAAAAAGATAATGCGAGACTTTAAGGTATTAAGAAATGGCTAATAGTGTATACTTAAGGAAATGTTATTTTGGAAAACCTAAACAAACTCAAGATGGGTGATTTTCATAATTGTAATGATTTTATAACTCCTTCAGCATCTCTGTTCCGTTAACCATGTCTATATTTAAACTTTTCCAGTTTATAAGCTTTAATATAAAGCTGTTTTGCATAAAATGAAATAAATTTGTAATTTTATATTTTGACATGGATATACTAGCTGCATCTGTTCAAAAAGCAATTTTGGGTACCATTTTACTGTTGCAGATTTACTTGTAATTTATGTCTATTTTACATTGTTTGTTCATTTTCTAGTAAACAAGACTGTATCTATGTACTTTAGTCCCTAAACCTTATTTGTACTATTAATATGTATTTAAGGGGGTACACACTACACACCAAGTATGGTGTAACTGTTGAGGACAGAGCAATAAACACAACACACATAGCTTCTCCCTGACCAAAGTCAGACACTGTTCATGTTACAGGGAACATGACCTGGAAAGGAAAGTGGGGGTGTCTATCCAAGGAGGTAATGACTAGCAAAGACTTTAATCTGATAGAAAGAATGATTTGGATTGGTGAAGATGGAACAAATGCATTTCAGGCAGGCCTGAACAGACAAAAGATACGTATTGAGTACTCTGACTTACTACTAGAAAAAGTGCCACAGGCTAATAGGCAAATCTCAAGAGGATAGACAAATATCCAATAAGATTTCAGTGTTTTTAGTAATGAGAAAAGTACAAATTTAAACTAGTAATACACTCTTTGTCTTTGGTTTCCCTCTGCAGTTCAGGCTGGCCACCACAACTCAGAGGTGATCCTCCTACCTCAGCCTCCCAAGTGCTGGGATTACAGGAATGTACCACCTCACCCAGCTAGTAATACACTATTCTGTACACATCAAACTGGCAAGTTCTGGTGAAGATGTACAACAATATATGCACTGCAGGTGGAAGTGTAAGCATTTGACACTCTACTTACTGCTGCATCCCACATAGCTCTCTGCTCCCAGGGAAAGACAGGATAAAGAAATAAAGATGAGAGACAAAGCTGAGGTCAGGTGGAGTGCTCTTTCTCCTGATGGGAGGAAAGAAACGGAACAGCCGCTGTAGGGGCATTTATTTATACATTTAACAAAGTATTGCAGGACACAGTTGCCCAGCAACTAATGATGGGAATGGTCTCAGGCAATGTATTTCTCTCAGGACTGAAGTGGCTGAGACATGTGACCAATTTCCAGCTTCAGCCGCTCCCTACAATTTACTGAAGCGCAGGTTTGAAATTATACTTAACTTCTAAGAACCAGCAAATTGACTTGAGTGAAATCCTAGAGAAACTTGTGTTCCTGAGTACCAGAACATCTTACAGCCAAAATTTGGAGACTCAAAGGTCCCTCAATAGTGTAACTGATAAATTACATTTATACATTGGAAAACTACACAGCACTCAGTCCACATAGGAAAAAAAAAAGGTGTCTTGCAAAGATAGGAAAGGCACAGATTACTTATGTATTAGAACAAATGACTCTATAAAGAAAATAAAAAATTGTTAAAGTAATATAATTCTAATATAGGACATAGTCCTGATAGTGTAAACATGGGCTATTAGCACTGTCTCTCTCTCTCTTTTGAAGAAAGCAAAGAAAAACCCCAAATTACAGGAAACATCCTATTACGAGGAAGAGGGAGGGAAGGAGAAAAAGGAACGTAGTCACGTATGGTATATACTATAAAACAAACCAGCAGACATAAACGAACTGTAAAGACAAACAGTAAAATATACCAGAAATAATAATGACAAATGTAAACAAATGAGGGTACAGCAGTTACTAAACTGCATTAACAGCATTCAGCTATGTATTCTGCCTAAGAGAAATACCAGAAAAAGGCTCATAGAGAGGCAAAGAACTGTGTAATACATACCTACTTATTAAAGCAAAAACGTGTTTTCAACCGTCAGAATTTTCCTAGGGATTTTTTTTTTAAAGGTTAACTCTTCTGATACTGCCTTTACCTAATTTTCCTCCCCAAAGTTGGATTACCAATGAATTTAAATGTTAATTCTAAAATATTCCCGTATTACTTTGTTATAATCATTCATGCTCTAATTAACAACACCTGAGAATTTCCTACCTGCTTCTGAGGAGGCTATTATTTTTTTAACCAGTTGTTCTAATGTTTCCATTTCCTCAACTTCAGTGAGGTTGAACTTATTTCCATTTTTGTTGATCATACGGATTTCTTCCTTTATGAACAATCCATTCCATCTTTTTGTCCATTTTTCTACTGAGCTGATTGTTACTATTTTTTTATTTTTTTGAGGCAGGTTCTTACTATGTAGTTTCACAATAGCCTTGAACTCACTATGTAGCCTAGGCTGGCCTCAAACTCACAGCAATCCCCCTGCCCCAGCCTCCTGAGTGCTGGGATTTCAGGCAGTTGTTGCTGTTTTAATTGTAATTTCTGTTACAGTTACAATTACTTTTTTCTTTTCACTGCTGAAAGTACAACTCATAATTGTGAGACAGAGCTCTAATTCTTTTTTTTTTTTTTTTTTGAGACAGGGTCTTGCTGTATAGTGCAGGCTGGCTTTGAACTCACTGTGTAGCCCATGCTGGCCTTGAACTCACTGGTGATCCTCCTGCCTCAGCCTCCCAAGTGCTAGGATTACAGGCATGTGCTATCACACCTGGCTCAGAAATCTCTTAGTTTATAGAGTTAAATTTTAAAATTTAATTGGTTCTTCATAAACACACAACAAAATTTAAAAATTATACTACCTTATTTTAAAATAAATCAAAATAGAGTAACATCACGGTGTTTATTTTTTATAAAATACATTTGCAGAATTGTTTCTTCACGGGTGCTACAAAAATAAATATAAAACAAATATACACGTTTACATATGTTACTTATAACATAAATACACACTATTTACATTTCAAAAATTCCAAAACCACAGCATGTTTTTATCCATGATTCTCAGTATGTCTAAGAAATAAGGAAAACAATAAAAGTACAAACACACCACACACCATTTATATTTTTGCTTTTAAAAAACTGTTCAATACATATATATGAACAGAGTAAGTTTGCAGGTGATCCTCAGAGCAAAGTTACGCATCCTGTTTTATTTTATGATCACTGTATTCGGTAAGTGACTCCAATTTCATTCAATTTTGTTCTCAGTATATATCCTTTATGGTATAGATTTAAATTCGATTTAATAGAAAGGCTTTCTGAAGTTAAATTTAAAAAGTCACTTTATTTGAAAGCCAACCAGAAAGTTATTTATTCAACACAGATTATGTGAAAGTTTTAATCAAAGACAAGTAGGAGTTGGATTAGAAAACATTGAAAGGATAGAACGAAGACACTGTAATTTCTGCTTGATGTATTCCGGTAACTTATCATGTTCTCCATACCTAAGTGCAACAGGAGAAAAAAAATGTAAAAAACAAATTACTTGGTTTTTATGGGAGTACCAAAATGCCTATTTTTTAGTAATTCTTAAAGAAAAAATGTATACAATTATTTATCAGATGCCTTAATCAAGAGAAACAATGTTTCTTTTACAAATAGAACAACTTCTAAACATTCAAATAAAAAGAAAAATTGATAAAATACTGAACTGACTATAATCTTAAAGCAAGCTATGACTAGATTCTTCTTTAAAATAAAGCCCTACTGCTAAAGAAAACATTAAGATAAAAATATATTATCAATCTATTTCTATTAAAAGCTAACAATTTCCAAATGATCATAGCAAATAAAAATCTCAGCATTCATCCCGGGAACACAGGTTCTACTCGTTTTCTAGCTGTGTCTTTCTACTTCCTGGAGCCTCTCACTGTAAGTATGGTTCTTTAAATGATGGTGCTAAACATAGGTGTATTTAACAAAAAAGCAATGAGTAAAGATGGCCACATATTGTGTCTACCCCAAGTATTTCCACTACAATACGTAAACTTCTCATGAAGTAGCATTGTCAGTACCTTTCTTTATACTTGATCTTAGCAAAAAGGCCAAGAAGCAAGTACCTTTTTTCAATAAGTTCTAAATAAGGTTCTTGCTGCTGCCAGATTCCCTATGTTTAGTGTGATGACTGGAACAGACTCATATAGCATGGACATAGAGTTCTCCCTTGGTATCGTTGGAAGCCCCTAGACACCAAAATCCTAGGATGCTCAAGACCCTCGTATGAAATGGCACAGTGTTTGCTTGTGAAGTATGTACATTCTCCTGTACTTTAAAGTCATCTCTATCTAGCCAGACACATGCCAGCCTGGGCAGCTTAGTGAGGCCATGTTTCAAAATAAAAATTAAAAATGGTTGGGATATAGCCCAGTGTTATAGCACCCCTGGGTTCCATCCCCAGTATCAAAATAAACTATAGATTATTTGTAATGTCAAAAAAAGTAAGTCCTACTAAACAGCTAAACTATATTGTTATGGGATAACAAAAAACGCTGTGTGTGCTCAGTACAGATGTAATTTTTTTCAAATATTCAACCTCTAGCTAGTTGACTCGTTAGATGCAGTACCTATATATACGAGGGCTGCCTATTCACATTCAAAAAAGTCAAATGTTGATCACTTACATTAAGGAATACAGCCTTTCTTTTGGAAAAATAATCAAGTTATCTCCTAAAAGGCTGTTTTTGTGTGTGTTCTTTTAAGCAAACACGTATACTAAGGGTCAACCTCATTAGGCTATAGATGAAAAGGCTACAAAGAATCTAACCATTGAGGTGGATTACGCCTGGATCATTCATACCAATTGCCCTGCATTAATGCAAACAATCATAAAGCATGCATTACAAAGACTATGAACTGCTAAAAGTAAGGAAAAGTTTAAAGAATAATATGACTGCCCAAAGACAGTATACTACCTCATCAAATCGTTTACTTCAAAATACACAGAAAGCAAAATTATAGAACAGGGCTGACTCAATGAGTATTTGAAGAACTTACCTAGTTGTCTGACCATCTGGTGATGTGTAACTGATAGAAGATACTCCTGCCTGGACCACCAGCTGTGACCCATCATTAAACTGAACCCACACAGCTCCACTAGTTAACTAGAAAAATAATAAACATCAGAATGACTATATAGTAGAGGACCTGAGGTTCTGAAAAGGCATTTAACAAGTTTTCTAATAGCTACAAAAAACTTGCTCTAGTAACTATAAACTGGGGGCTGTCTCAGAATTGAGAATATCTGTGTCTTTTCCAGATTATTTCTTTAATACCTACAGCATTATAATATTAAAATTATTCTAAGTGAAAGCTGGGTGTGGTGGTACAAGCTTGTAATCTCAGCACTCAGAAGGCAGAGGCAAGAGATTGCTGTGAATTTAAGGCCAGCATGGGCTACATAGTGAGTTCAAGGCCAGCTTGAATTACATATCAAGACCCTGTCTTGAAAAAATAATTTTTGTCTTTTTGTTTGTTTGTTTTTTTGTTTTTTCTCTGGTTCTGGGAACCGAACTTACGACCTTGCGCTTGCCAGGCAGGCGCTTTGCCGCTGAGCTAAATTCCCAGCCCCAATTTTTGTCTTTTTGAGATAGGGTCTCACTGTGCGGTTCAGGCTGGCCTTGAACTCACTTTGTAGCACAGGCTGGCCTCGAATGTGCAATGATCCTCCTGCCTCAGCCTCTGGAGTGCTGGGATCACAGGCATGTGCTACCAAACCTGGCTAAAAAAATTCTAAGTGAATCCTGTTTCCCATAATTTCTGTTAGGAATCTGTGTAGGTGTTTTTGGTTTTTCCCCTTCTCTCCACATAGAATTCCACACCATTGTAAGAATGGACTCAGGAATAACAAAAGCAACTCCCTGTCCTTAAGTGACAAAAATTTGTCCCTCACCTGAGAATACTGCATCAAAGTCTTTAAAAGTACATCTTTTAGTCATTAATATTTACAATGTGCTACTCCAAACAGACGCACATGAAACAGAGAGAAGAAAAAAAAACATGGACACTGGAATCACACAGACCTAGGTTTACATCCACACTGCCTACTTATAGGTGGTATAATACTGTTATGAACACTGATTTCACTATCTTTAAGAAGTGATAGCATCAACTTCACTGTTACTCTGTGAGATAAGCTAGACATTGTATGTGGAAAACACGGTGCCACACAACAAATAATACATATTACCTAGTCCCATAAAGTGCTTGGGTGCACTTTACCTCCCTAGGCAGGTAAAAAGTACATGTGCCATGCTCAAGTGTCCACGTTTCAAATACATGTACATTCATATCTATGAAAAATTCTCAAGTCTGAAATCTATGTGCACTCAACTTTTCAAAAAATTCCTTTCTTTTGCCAGATGAAAGTTACTCTAATCATATATAGTTTCTAAAATTAAAATGCCCTAGCTGAGTGTGGTGGCACATGCCTATAATCCTAGCACTCAGGAGGCTGAGGCAGGAAGATAACCATGACTTCAAGGTCAGCCTAGACTATATAGTGAGTCAAGGCCAGCCTGAACTACACACATAGCAAGAACCTATCTCAAAAAATAAAAATAAAATAAAATACCCTGGACACTATTCTCTATTCCTGACAATTATCTATTATTATAATCTTTACTTGCTATTTTTTATTTACTTTTTTTGAGACAGGGTTTCAATATTTAGCCTCAAAACTTGCAATCCTCCTGACTCAACCTCCTAAACGCTGGGATTACAAGTTGCACCCAGCTATGACCTCTAAAATCAACATTTTCAATGATATAATCAATATAAAAAAGTATAAAATCATCCCAATGAGGAATCAGAAAAATAATTTTTTGAGAGGGCAACTGTCTAAAGTATGTGAAAGCCAAAAGAAATTCACACTGAAGAAATTGAGGAATTTCCCTTTCCTAGAAACTTCTCACCTGGGTAGCCCAACCAACATTTTTCACAAAAACAGATTTCAGAAGCTGTGCTGATTTAGGAAGACCATCTTTTGGACTGTTAGAAGAGATGTTTGTTCCTGAGGCTGTAATGGCATGACCAAGTCCTTCAGATGTAACTACCTATAAATAGTAAAAGGGAAGAAGATATTATTCCTTAGTATTTTGACAGGTTAACTTATGACTATAAAATTACAAAATACTAGTTAGCTTTAAGTAAATTTTAAAAATGGTGCTGGGGATTGAACATAGGGCCTTGCACATGCTAGGCAAGTGCTCTACCTCTGAGCCACACCCTAACTCTTTATAAACAAAAAGTTTTAACTTACAGTATAACCATTTTTTTGAAAGCAAGGAACATACAGAAAAGAAAAAAATATTCATACATTAGCTGTTCTCATTTTGATGGATTTCTTTCTTTT